AAAGTTTGATAGAATATATGTTAAAACTTCGTGTAATAGTGAATGGTTTGGTGAGCAAAATTTGAAGTGGGACAAGCCTTCCAAGGGTGGTGGAAATTGAACGGGAAATATCTTTTAAGTTTTATGTTTATTCATTTTTTTTATATACGGTATTAAGTCTGTTTTGCATGTTTCTATATAAATTAGAATTATAGTTTTTTTTTTGCGAAATTGCTACCATGTTTGTTTTTTAGAGCTTAAAACAACATTCTTAATACAAAATGCTTAAAAATAATACTGTTAACGAGATAATAGAATGGTTAGAAAATAAATTTTACATGATGGTTAGACAATAAATTAAAAGAAAACAGTTTTTGTTCAAATTAATAAATCAAAACATACTAAATATAATGCATATTAAATATCAATAAAATCAAACAAGTACCACATATACAATTCTTAGGTGTTACTATTGATGAAAATTTTCATTGGAAACAACATCTTGACAACACTGTAACAGGATGAACAAATTATGTTATGCTCTGGGTCAAGTTGTGAAAGTAACAAATAAAAAAAGGGCTATTACATGTTTATCGGGCTTACGTGGAATAGATATAACGTTGTGATCTTGTAATATGGGTAACAGCACAAACAATCAAAGAGTATTCATAACAAAAGAAAAAATGTATCAGAGCAATTTGTAGCATTCCACCTGATGACTGATGTCGGAAATCATTTAAACAACTTGATTTATAACAGCTTTCGTCATTAATAATCTAGAAATCTGTAACTTTATACGGAATTACAAACATTTATTCAAAAAAGCTAAGGACATTGTAAAATCTAAACAGCTTCGAGACCCTCATGGACTTGTATTAAATGTTATTCCAAAATCAGATAAGTATGGGAAAACTAGTTTGGCTATGAAAATTCCAAATGAATTGAAATCATTATCGGCTGGATTTGTAACATTTTTTATAGTATTAGTGAAGTTTTGAACTTGACATATAATACAAATTTCAACATAATAAGAATGTAACAATTTGAATATTATTATTGTGCTATTATTGCTTGGGTTAATTTTTATTCTCGGTGTATTAGATTAGATTGCATTAGTGTTTTTGAATACTATTTGAGAATAGCGGAAAATTAGGATATTGTACATATTTAACACCTTTGGATCATGTTTAAGGCAAATAAACAATTATTATTAAATATTAGAATAAACTTTGTATACTGATAAAGAACTTACCTTGTATATTGTGATGTCAGAAATCATGTCATTGAATAGATTGGTAACAAAGTCTTTAACTCATTGTTGCAGGTACTTCGCACAGCGTACAGCTACTATGCGTTCATAAGGAGCCGGAAAGAATAATTTATGAACATAAAAAAAAATATCTTCTTACGTCTTTCGCATTTGAATCAGTAACAACATTTTCCCAATCTTATTTAGGTATAGTTCAAAACATTTAATGTAGTAGGCATCTATTGTAAGAGTCATGATAATTATACGATGTCACATTGTTACGCAAATAGCTTAGATTATTATTTCGCTGGAAATTAGATATTTATTGTATATTATTTTAATTAATATTTACTTGAATACAATATATTTCCCAAATTACAATTCAAATTATTTATTTTATTAATTCATCACACAATACTATTTTATTTTTACAGTGTGTTTATTAGATTACCTCACGAGGTGGCATAATCAAAATATGCGACTTCATCTTTGTTTTTAGAATCTTTTTTTTCGCTCTTTTTTAAATTTAAACTACTTGACTGTAAGTAGCCCAAACGACCATTAAAATTTTCATTACTTTACAAATTTGACAACACCCATACAAATTTGACGATCTTATATGTGCAACTGACTGTAAGAGGTTTAAATTGAAAAAAGAGCGAAATAAAAATACTAAAAACAAAGATGAAATAGTCCCTAGAGTACACGAGATAGAATTCTGTTATAAAATAAGAGTTTTTACCGACTTATAAACATCACCGGGACTCGAACCTGTGCCGGAGAGACGACCACAATTCTATTGAACTTCAACCCCTATTTGATTGATTTTTGAAAAATCATTAAATTTTTAATAAAAATCATGCAAATGAGCGGAACTATTAAGCGTTCTAAAAAATAAAAGACGAATGACAATTTATCTTTTTTTCTTCATAAAGCCGTTATGGCGTATAAGCGGTTTAAGGTTGCATTACATGCAACCTCTTTTCTAGGTTCGTAGCGTATACAGAACGGCAGACGTCATAAACTACACCAGATAATCCTTTAATGGAGTACTATTACAGAAACCAATAGAAAAGTTCAACTACTTAGTAAGAATAAATACAATTATAGCGTCTCCGCCAACTGTTTCAGTTCATTTGGAAAATCATAGCTAATAACTTGGTTGGTAAAGCCGACATATAATTTAACAAAAATTACTGCGGTAGTTTATGTGTCATTATCAGTATTGAGGAGACATATCACATTGAGATGTTTGTTTATTTTATGCGTGTTAAGTTTAATATTTCGTAATTTTAAGTGCTCAAAAGTCTGGTGTGAGATAATGTGATTTCATTGGAGCTTCACAATCGTACCTATGTCAGCGGCTACTCTCTACACATTATTCTAGCACCTGATGAATTCTATCATAAACTAGAACGTTATGTCTCTCCTAGTTTGTGTTCCTGATTTCTATATTAACTTTAAAAGGCTAGAGATTTATGAAATCTCGGAGAAAAAAAGGACTACAAAGGTGATCAACAAAAATTTATTTGGGTTTGGGGGAAGATCTGAGTCTAAGTTTTAAGCACTCATCTTCAACTGGAATGTATTTAATTTGTTTATAAAATAAATGTATAATGATTATTTTTGAAGTTAAAATAGTATCGGTCCACTTCTAATAAAGGTAGTATGGAAAATCCATACAAAAAGAACCTCCTACTTTTTTGAAGACGCTAAAATATAGATTGGTACTCATATCAGTGATATTACTGATACCAAGCAGACAAAGTTGTACGCATAAGCTAGTAAATATTCAATATTATAATAATCGCTTCGTAATACTACTATTTACCCTACTAAGCTGGTTATTACTTTTCAAAATACTTACCTAATTTTATCAATTTTAAAACAGTAAAATATAATTGGTTCTGAATCACTTTAATGGAGCTTTTTTGATAAGTACCTAAGTAAATTTATATTTTACTGATGTTTATCAAGAAAGTAACGTGTACAGCTGAGCAACAAGGAAAGTGTGAGTACCTACATAACGTATTGTGTTTACAGCAAACTAAACATTAATGAAAATCCAAGAGAGCTTAGAAAGTCATTAAGTTGAAATTGTTTTCCTGATAGTAGAGATGTTAAGAAATTGAACTGTCAAACATCAGAAGTCGATTTATAATATCTGACGACGAAAGACGACATTGTCTTCAAAATAAATTAGCTGAACTTATTTGTAACTTTTTACATGTATAGAATGGTGGACCCTATTTTAACATTCTGTACAAAAATAAAGGAGTTGATATTGGACCAGAGGTTTGAGTAACTCCATTAACAGCGTTTGTTTCTACATATTTTTACCTGTAGATAAGATGCTATAAATTAGGTAATATGCAATTTACTTCATATTAATATTGGATATGATCAAAGGAAAGTTAGAATTCTTCAAAGAAATGAGAAATAAGACAAAATTAGTAATCCATTACTTAATTAACCTTTAAGAAAGTAAATGGGTGTCCCAAACAAAGTTCTGTAGATAAATGTGTTTTATATTATATAATTAGCTAGATTGCTATACTGTACAGTAGGTACACCTTGCTATTTATAGTTTAACCTCTAGAAAACGTTTATTATATAAGTATTTAGCGTTATAATAAGTACGCAGATGAGTTTCTATTTTTATCATAACTTTTAAATAACTAAACTGATTTGCATGTTATTGGGTATAATTGTGAAAAACACTGCTAAAAACGAAATAAAAGTAAAAAACAGCTGTGTTATGGCGTATTGGGTTTAAATTCGCAACCACAACTTGTTTCTTTTTCGTTGGCTGGCCGCTTCTGTCATATCATTGTTGTACCATGATGGTCGAAGACGATGCTCTTAGCTATCTCATGGAGCGCTTTCACACCCTGCTCAGGTTAAGCCGCCCCTGTATCTCAGTGAAAAATAATACGTTTACACTCTCGTTTTTCACTTCAATATATTTCACCATATAGCCAACCTCTTAACTTTACATGCCCAAATTCAAATTATACAAACCTTATTCTCAATGAAAAATTCTTAAAAAATCCACTTTGTCCATGGTACTCTGAGATGGGAATCCAAACCATGACCTTTCGCAATCCGGGCAATTGCTCTAACCACTGAGCTACCCTGGACCTAACAGGACTGATGCATCTTAGTTCGCTACTACAGAACGTAATTTATCAATGTCCAGGCAATCAATCCAAACAGCCAAAAGAAATATTTTTACAAATATTTAAGTTTAGATAAAGATAAAAATTTTGTTCTAATATTAATATTATATTTGATCAATTTGCATTCACAATGATATAATAAAATATTCTTATTGAAAAATGCTTAAAAATCCACCATGTCCCTGGCACTCCGAGATGAGATTCGAACCCATGACCTTTCGCATCTTTCCGGGTTACTGCTCTATCCACTTAGTATCCAGGACCTAACAGGACTAATGAATTTTTCAAGCACTTGTTACTTTCTCGCTTCTATACAGCTACAGTATCAAGGGGGTTTATTAAACATTTTAAGCACTGTGTTCAAAATTGAGGAAATGTAAAGATCTACAAACCTTAGTTTAAAAACTTACATCGAACTTAATCTTTGTACAAACTTTTGTCGAAATATGTGGTCAATTTAAAAATCTTCTTCTTTAAATTAAAAAAAATATCATAATTGTTTTGAACAATTTATACTTAAGTAGTGACATGATTTGCACTTATATTAGTAATATACTGAAATATAGATTTGGTAAATTCTAAATTTCAGAATCATGACCGGCTCTCAAAGAAGCGAATTAGTTTCAACCATTCTACAATTCGTTGGTGATACAGGTCTGCGGATGGGCGCCAAGAATCACGTACATTGGTTAGCCGAAACCGTTGCATGTATTTACATAATTATATATACTATGGAGATAATTGCTGTTGTAAACGTCCGCCATGACTCCATCAAGTTCTTCGAATACATTAAGGACCTTTCTCTTGGTGGAATTGGTATTATAAAACTGATTTCTTTGAGGAGAAATCATCATCGTTGGCATTTACTTCTTGAGAAAGCTACTAATATTGAAAAGGATCAGTTGGAATGGCAATCTAAATGCGAAAATGACAGTAAAGACGATTCATTTGCATTTTCAGAGTATATTAGTGATTACAGTAAGAAGTTTCAATTGACTTCAAAGGTTTTATCTTACACCTATAAGATAACTCTTGTGGTGTATGTTTCCTCACCATTTCTAGAATATGGGTACAGAAAATTTTTCGGTGGTGGAACAGATGACTTACCTCACATTTTACCAAGTTGTTCACCGTTAGACGACTATAGTTTTGCTGGTTACGTACTGACAATATTACTTGAATTTATTGGTCTAACCTACTGCGTTTATGTACACGTTGCCTACGATTTAATCTCAATTGGAATGATGATATTCATAACTGGACAATTTATTATATTACGTGAGTATAGCGAAAAAATTGGCGGCAAAGATATTATTATAACTAAGAAAATGGATGATCGGGCACATTCTCAAATTAAAACCTGTCACGATATTCATATTCGTTTAAAGAGGTATTCTTGGATTTACTAAAAAACATTGATAAGCTATGTAGGTGTGTTACTGAATAAAATCTTGTTATGATTTCAGCTCTACTGTTGAGTTGAGAGAACTCGTACAAACTGTGTTAGGGGTGTATTTTTTTATAATCACTTTAACACTTTGTTCCATTGTTGTAAGGTTAAATGAGGTGAGTTACCAGTTTATTTTTTATCTACTTACAAGACTCTTTGTTAATCATGCAAGATAAATTTTGACTTACCTCAGCGGCAAGGTTCAAGAATCGTAAGACGTGCGTAACGATCCCGGTCTTTACGTTTTCCTTTCTTTACATTCTGCTCTCTGTCTGCTGAGAGATGTAACATAAGGTAATTGACAGCACTACAAAACTATTAATGATTTCGTATTCAATAGAAATCAGCATTATTAGGCTAAGTTCAAAATATTCTCGTAGTCAAAATAATTATTTTCAACTATTTATTGATCTAACCAAATTTTGAAGGAAATAAAAGGTCTAAGACTCATTGCTACAGTACTATACCTGTTAGCCCAGTTGATGCAACTGTACTTGTTTAGCTACCACGGAGATAACGTTTTAAACGAGGTAAGACTATAACCAGCACTTACTACATTAAGATTTTTTAATGCAAAAACTGACTTTAAAGCTTTTTGAAAAGAGTCTCCATACTTTAATAATGAGCATTTTACGTTGCTAGAAAAAAGAAGTTCAATTTCAATACGGCTATTAGAACATTCTGTTCTAGAGTTCCATAAACCAAGGCCAAGGGCCGTACGGCGCCGCATACTGGTCTCTCAGTCCTGGAGTCAGAAAGCAGCTGACAATTCTAGCGATGGGGATGTCGAGTCCGTGTAAATTGTACGCCGGCCCTTTTATATCACTAAATCTGCCATCGTTTGTACAGGTACGTGGATGACACCGACCAGTATAATTGAGCCACAAGTTTTGTTGTTGTACCAGTGTAATTGAGCCACAATGGATTTAAAACACTTGAGCTTTATTTTAACACTCTCACCCATTTCTTAACCCGCTTACTGTACATAAAATTGTAATTTTAGTATTAGTTCATATTCATATTACACAGAGAATAAGCAAATCTACTACCTTCAAGGAGCAAATATTACTCCCGTAGAACTTCGTACTAGGTTAACCTTTGTTAAGTCTCTGTTTAATAATATGAATTTTGATTAATACAGAGAGCAGTCTCAGCGTAAATTTACTCCGAAGGTAAACCTTGTTAAAAAGTAGCACTGTAAGTGTAAATCTCTAGTCAAAATTATTAAGATAAATCCTGTATCCCACTGAAGTCCCAGTATGCGCCGGATGAAAATTTAACAACCGGATACACATTTCATTTCTAAAACTGAAATTTCGAAGATTAAGAGTAGATGTCTCGTTCGAATTAATAAAAAATAATTATCTAATACCATTTTGTTTTCACAGGTTCTCCGCACTGCTTACAGCTATTACGCTCTCATAAAGAATAAGAAGTAATTCAAAGTTTAGATATTTTATTTTGTCGTTTTTCACTTTAGAATCACGCTTTACAATCGCAGTCCCTGAATCTTGGACTTGCATAATGTTATCGTTTTTTTTATTATAAAAAATGCATCTCAGGTACCTACAACAGAGTTACAAAAGATCATTTTCTAATTGAACGGCAATTTTTTGATCTGTTAACTTTTTAAAGTCATAATCGAATTGTATAACTTTTAAAGTCATAATCGCTTTTGGACATTCAATAACATCATTCATTAAAATTATTATTAGTTTACTGTCACATTACCCATACAAATTTTCAAATTTAGATCATATTAGAGCTTAAAGTCGTCAATCAAGCTTAGTGGGCTTTTGTGCAACTGACCGATAATATCTAAATCATATATCATATAAAATAAACATTATCGTTTAATATCTAGAAAAATATTCAGATGTGTACTTTCGCGATCATCTTTGTTTTACTAAACAAAGCCATGGTTTATAGACAATTTGGTGTAATTAGGGAAGTCATTTGTACACAGTATGCCTTGTGACTTTGTTGCACCGAAGACTACTGTCCCGGATATTAAATTGATGTCGTCATGTACTTATTAGTAAAATTTTAAAACGAAATATAAACCGTATAAAAATAAATCATTATATTTTATTTTTGCCTATAAAAAAATATAATTCATCAAGATATTGATGTTTATAAAATATCCAATGATATGTAGGTAGATTGAATTAGTCATTGATCGGAAACGTTGATGTGACTATGGACATTCCTTCGGAATTTTCAAAGAATAAAATAGAATCAAATAGCAATAGGATATATAATACTATATATACCAGGGTAAATAATTTAATTTAAACAATTTTTATATTTTACTTTCAATTTTGAGTTGGGTAGCAATAACTAATTTTTTGGATAAAAAATATCTTATCAATTTTATTATTTCTATGAGAATTTATGACGCAAATTTTAAAAATCAATCTACCTACTCTGATCATTGATACCGACATATATTTTACGCTGACAAAACATTAGGTTTAGTATCTTTATGATAAACAGCTAAAAACGCTCAAAACTAAACTTTATTTTTAAGTGAACTAGAGTTGCTGATGATTGTTTAACCAATCCAGAACAGAAGCTTGGTTGTGATCAGTCCATTTGATATTGTTCCTGACAGTCTCTAGTGCGCGGCGTCTCGATGCCTCTCCAGCACCCGCTTCAGGGTATTGTTCGAAGAACTCTTCCATCTGGATAAAGGATATATCGTGTAAATCAAAGTATCGCACTATACACGACTATTTGAACAACACTAGCTGACAAACACATTATACTCTGATTGAATAAATTACTTGTAAATGTTTATTTTAATTGAAAACAGCCACAAGCAAAATATTTCTAAAAATTGAGACTTTTATTTTACGATTAATTACGACTATATTCATGACGTCATTCGTTTTCGTACACATGAGTGTATTATTGAATATATTATAGGATATCAATCAGATGAGAACAGTGCAATCTTTGCTTTAAACTAAAAAGATAGAAGTAAAGTAAGAACAGAAAGCTCTCTATGAATCTGCTTTATAATAAATAGACAGCGGTAGGGTACCACAGACGAGAGTTATATCGTTACATGGTTTCTAATCATTGGTTAAATTTTTGCCTTAGGTGATTCCTAAATATTCAGGAGACAGATTTTAGCAACTCCAAAGTTTAGTGAAAATTGGCATAAGATTTCAGCGGCGGCTTACCTCTTTCAATTTCAGCGGTGTGTTAAAGGAGTCTGTAATGGACGGTATCAAGTTGCCAAGGTACCGGCTGTTGAGGGTAAATCTATTCACCAGCTCGGTCCACCGCGTTCTAACGTCCTCCCACACAAGCGCTGTGCCCGATGGATTATTGCTAATATAACCGACCACGTTTAGATAATCTTGGCTTCGAATGTTCTTCTCGTCCCAAGCTAACGTTAAATATCTGGGATGACAATAAATATTTATTTATTAATTCAACAAAGCTTCAAATGAAAGAAAGAAGAAAAAATATTTATTGAACACACACATGTTGACACACATGGAAACACCAGTTTGTTATTTTAAATATAGACGGAGAGCTCGTGGCAAAAAAGTACAAGTTTTTTTTAAATTGATATTCTAGTGTGTTGAAATACTGAGGATATATCATACAATACCCGGTGCGGAGGTTAGTCGCTGGAATACCGGGTGGCGGCTAATCATAAAAAAGGTGCTTTTTAATAATTAAAAATTAGGGAAAATACTTCAGAAAGCTAGTGCCATATGTTTGTCATGACCTCTTACACTCGTATCTGTACGTCGAGAGAAGGGTAATTATAATAGTATTCAAACTATTAACAGTTCTTACTTCATTCAAATTCTTATTTATTTGTCAAAAACATATTTGCTTAAGTGATTACTTTTACTCGACTATAGATATGGGTCAAATTTTTAACGGCTATTTAAAATAGTTGGGTGCGATACAAATATTAACCGTATTGTTCAAAAGTTACATTTTCAGGAATTATTTGAATTAATTTCTTACTTTCGAAGTATACTGGTATCTCTTGGAGCCGCGAGCGCATGACGCAGTTTGGTTTGCTCTTGAGCGTCTTCCTCTTTCAGATATATGTTCCATAGTTTATCCCATTCCTGATGAGTTGCTGATTTCATACCTGCGTAATACGTATTAGTAATAATATGGTATTATAATACCTTTGGTATTAGATAATTCGTTACACTAACATAGGTTAGTATAATCAGCGGCATCTGTCTCGTGGCGCTAGCATCTACATCAACTTTATATTCATAAACCATACGACCTATTTCAACAGTCTAGATCAGAGGTTCCCAAACAATTATTTCTCGTAGTCCATTTAAAAAAAAAATACTGGTTTGGTGGACCCTTTACCATATTCCCAAAATTCGTCCTAACCCCTCCCTCGTCGACCCCTGGGGGTCCACCTCGACCAATTAGGGAATCACTGCTCTTGATGAAGAATATTAATATATTAAGAGTTAGTTGCACTTGAAATATTAATAACAAACATTTTAAAGTACTAGTTAATGAAATAATAATGAGTTATCATTCGGTAATGGTCGGATGACGTGATAACTTTAACTGTAGACAATTATCGACTAAGTTACGTTGGTTAAAGTTATTGTTTTACTATGCCAGAAAAAAAAAGAAGGTGGTGCAACGCATTCCACAGTCAATTTTAAAGTCAGTGTAACAGATATTATCACATTTGATATATCACTTAAATTTAACTGTAATTATGGTGCAACGGAGACTAAATGTCGGTGCATAAGTCGCGTCGCGTTCGTCGATCGCGGAACGTCTGGATATCTTTCTGTTACTGTTGTATATACAGGTGAAGACATTAAACGAAAATCATCATCATCAGCCCTTTTACGTCCCCGCTGCAGGGGGTCAGGCCTTCCTTATAGATGATTAAGGAGGATGGGTCATGACCCTCCACGCTGGCCCAATGCGAATTGGAGGGTATTAACGACTGCAAATGCAGCCGGGACAAACGGCTTAACGCGCCTTCCGAAGCACGGAGTAGCTCAAAATTATATTTTTTTTGGTCACCCATCCCGTGACCGACCCTTGCGCAAATTGCTTAACGACAAAGATCGCGGGCCGCGGCGTTTACCCACTACGCCACCGAGCTAAACGAAAATAAATGCTTATAATTATTTCTGGCGGTGCTTAATGTGTTATTAACGATAATCAAACTCTTATGCTTATTGTATTTATAATATTGCATAAATTAATTATGAAAAAAGAAATACTCGTTGTCACGTGACCGGAAACAACGCGTTTCGTCACGCCCCTCTTACTCATATCAGAATATAAAGAATAAACCTTATTCGTACATACAAGGATATTTAGTAATTTTATTAATAATATAACAAATACTGTTAGGGTAGCGTTACACTGTTGTTTACCGCAGCATACGACCGCGGACGATCAACCATAGCTAAGACGTTTCATAAAGAGAATATGGGTGTAGACAACTATTTATTATATTTTTATTTTACAGATATACTTGAAAATTATTCAAATTCGTTTTTCTCAGTCCAATATTAATCCTTATGCAGTTTAAGAATGGTAATGATAAAAAAAATGTTTAAATGCATTAACTTACCATAGTAATATACAAGGTCACGCAGATCCGTTTCTATGGTGACGATATTATCAGTGTCATGGCTGTTCAGCCAAGTAAGGAACATGTTCCTTACTTTAGCCTCAGCATCGGGCAACTGGCAACGAGTCGCCAGCGCTAAGATTCTTGTTCGGAGTAGACTAGAAATATAAAATATACTCAAGCTAATAGCCATAACACTGAATAATATACAATATGTCATTATAGTTACAAAAAAACAACCATATGCACTATGGTATAGTCCCGTCGCCGAACAGAGCGAATTTCGTACGTTGAACTTTATGCCTACTACTAGATATCATATACACTTGCAGTGCGATTAATAAACAAGATTTAGCGCCACTTTACTACAATCTAGGAGTAAATATTAGGTAAAACCTCGTACTAGGTTAACCATTGGTAAGTCTGTTTAATAATATGAATTTTGACTAATACTTAGTGCAGTCTCAGCGTAAATCTATTCCAACGTTTAAAAAAAAACAGTAATTCTATTTAGTCCGTTAGTCAAATAATAGAAAAATATTAGATACGTATTTCTTGTTTCAATTGAACAAGAAACAGCTTAAATAAGAGGCATTGGATAAAACGATAATGATATGTGTCTATATTGACTTTATTATATTTTTTTTGTAGCACCGCCTTATTAATGTATCTATTCCATAACTTTCCGATTGACTGGTAGAGAATGCCTACTGGCATTAAGTCCGCCATTTGTACGTTTTATTTGTGCAAAGAAGTTTAAATAAATAAAAAATAAATAAGTTGAGGGACTCCTCGATTGGGGCTCGCCGCGTCTCAACAACTATGTAGAAAATATACAAAGGTGTGACGTCCTGCGACATTTGCAACTCAATGTATCGCCGTAATTTACGCAAAAAATAACAAATACATCTTTAATATTCTTTAACAATCTAGCCGACGGACAGATAGACAAAAAAATGTCATCATCCCTATTTGAGGACAGTGGCTTCCATATACTCGTAGAAGTGCACTATTACTTCACAATTTTATATGAAACTACTACAAAATGAATTCAAATGAACAACTTTTTTTTTTTAATATTATATATAAACTTACCTTTCAATAACACCAAGTTTTGTTTTTTGCCAACTTTGTTTCTCATATAAAGGTTTCACAAGTTGTTGTACATAAATCTGAAAAAAATATTATTATATAGAGAATAAGAAAAACGTTAGTTACGTATAATTAAAATAGAAATTAATAAACGATAAAAACAAAAGTAGTTCATAAAAACGTTACAAATTACCCCGATAACAGATAACCTGATCAAATAATATATCTATACTAATATTATAAAAAGGAAAGATTTGTTTGTTTATTTGAAACTAATATGTTCCGAAACTACTGGAACGATTACAAATTCTTTCACCTAGAGGAAGCTACATCATATGCGGTGAACATAGGCCATATTTTATCCCAATAAAACAGCAAATAAAGGGCTGATAATGGGAGTGGCAGTTTGTGTTGGGAATAAAAACGTTAATATAGTAACCACTGTTTAGTTTTCAATTGCTCCGTGGCACGCAATCGTTGTCGTTAAGCAATTTTCGCAAGGGTCGGTCACGGGATGGGTGACCAAAAAGTATTATCTTGAGCTTCTCCGTGCTTCGGAAGGCACGCTAAGCCGTTGGTCCCGGCTGCATTTGTAACCGTTAATACCCGCCAATCCGCATTGGGCCAGCGTAGAGGGTCATGGCCCATGTTCTTTAAAAATTCATAAGGAAGGCCTGAGCCCCTGCAGTAGGGACGAAATAAAGGGCTGATGATGATGATGATATTGTTATTATGTCCGTGTCATGATATGAATTGATATCCAAATAACCAGTTCCCTAGGAACTATGCGGGCGAAGCCGCTGGGGGAAAGCTAGTTACGTATAAAATCCTGATTCACGCATGAAATGGACACCGTTCGTTCAAATATTAAAAATATACCCAATTCAGAATCGCAAGACTACTTACATTCAAATTGTCGGATAGTGAATTAGCCAGTCTGTCAGAAAGCGATTTAAAGATACTGGCGGCAGTCTCCCATGGCACATAGTCCTCCTCTACGCGCAAATATGAGCTGAGGGACAATGCTATATCGTAAGGGACCACGCGTGCTTCTGCTAACGCGAACACATCGTCTAACAAGTGTGACCTGTCTGATATACTCAGCTAAAATACACAAAAAATATTTTGATTGAAGTAACGTTATTTTATCATAAAGTAGGGACAAAACGTTCTCGAATTTGTCATTTATTAGAATACAAAAAAAAATGTATAAAGTAATGAAATAGTAATTTTAAAAACTTTAATTGGGAAGTATTTTCTAAAATAAGCGGTTAAATATAACTTATTTGTTTTTACCTGTGCCGATTTTGCTTTGAGTTGCTCAATGAGTTTCTGCCATAAGTCTAATGGATAGTTGACTCTGTAATAACCTACTTGGTTATTATTTATTTTTACCCAGTTTCCACCTTCTTCAACAGTTAAATGCACTGTGAAATAATTGAGGTTTAATTATCATTAAAATTATACCTACTATGAGCGCTGGGAGAATGCGTTTCTGACGTTTTTAAAATACTCAAGATTAATGATGGGCAAAATTTTATTATTAAGCACTTATTGGGTTTTATTGAGTGCTGAAACAGATACTCTTTAGCTGGTTTCTATTGCCGAATGTATTATTTAGAAATATTTATTGAAAAACAGGTTTTTAAAATATTGTTTTCTCGGGTATTTAGCTCTAAATAAAATTTAATTCCAGTATTAAGTGTGATGCTGACAGAAGTTAATAGGAGAAAAAACAATATGTAATAATCTTATTTAATCAATTTGGAACTCGATATCCATCTCAGAAGACCTGTGGCTGGTAGCTTTATTAAGATTTTTTATATTTTTCAGTATAGCATTGTGAATGCAAAACTGATCAAATATAAAAAAATATGTAATAACATTTTTATTGTAAAATTAATCCTATCTCAAAATTAGATCGTGGAATTCAAGTTCATTATACACAACCAACAAATATCTTTATAACGAGTACATTAGGTTGGGGAGAAGTTTCCTCATATAAGTATGCATTAACTTGTAATAAAATCTTTTTGTCTATACCATTTGTAAATGGTTGGTTTCGGTATCATTAAAAAGTTTAAATTTTAAAGAAGATAACTCCGAATACAAATTAGAAAAAAGTGGGGCTTCATTTGTTTTTCTTACTGTCAAATAAGTAGTCGCGATGTCGCTGAAGAACTGGGGATAGACTGCAAAACAGTTTTGGCGCATTTGAAAAGTTGGGTACATACAAAAGTGGGATATTTGGGTACCTCACGAGCTAATGGAACGTGTACTCACTTGTGATTCTTTATTGCCTAAATTTAAAACCCAAATTAAGAATTGTTTACTCAGTAAAGTATATTATACTGCCAATGACATTATACATTTTTTTGTTAGTGATTAATGAAAATTAAATCAAATGTTTTTTTTTTAATGTGAAAAGTGACATGTATATTGTAAAAACTATAAGTGGAAACTTTACTGATTAATATGTTATTTTAAAATGTTTCGATTGGATTTATTATAAATATTGTTTGTTTCCAAAATATAATAAAATAAATAAAAGTGTGTCTTTTACACAACTGCTTGGTGTTAAATATAGCTTATTTTTATGTATATTAAATTATTTATCGGTGAATTTGTTTGACTAGACATGTGATTCGATTGACGAAAATACTGTTTTACTTTTATATTTTCTAATATTGTAACGGAAAGTGACTTCATATTTTAATGAAGCCATTTTTCAATCTTGATGCTCTGTATGAAATAAAACAGGGAGAAAAAAACAGCCCTTGCCGAGTTTCTTGCCGGTTCTTCTCGGTACAAGGTCTCCCACCGTAGATTTACGAACCGATGGCGTAGCTCTCGACTTTCATAAGTGCTTGTAACAGCCTAGACTAAATAAATAATTTTGATTTGATTTGACTTGCACCATCAGATTTCCACCTTTTTAGGTCTCTTCAGAATTATTTAGGCAGTGTCAGGTTAACATCAAACGAGGACTGCCAAAATCCCTTGTCACGGTTTTTGACCAGAAGCCCCAAAATTTCTATATTCTATACAAGATGGCAAAAAATTATCGAACTTAATGGTACCTACATACTTTAGTTAAATGTAAATAACTTTATTAAAAAAAAAAATTCATATAAAATGCGAAGAAACTTTTCCCAAAACTATTTTTTGAATAGTTTTTGCATTCATAGTGCAACCAGGGATAAAATGGTTTTTTAAGCTTTTTTCATTAAGAATATCTGTACTTAATTTAAAACCTTATTACATCGAGGGCAGAATTAAAAATCAACTGGAGAAATCCGACATATTGTGATAATGAGGGCTAATGCGATTGAATTTGCCACTAGAGGCGCTAGTGTAGCGTGAGATCCTAAAATGTCAAATATCATACTTTATCAGTGAAATACGAGGGTTTATTTTCAAATGAACGAATTTGGCGCTTATTTTGATATATTTGAGGTTAATTAAAGCAATTATGAATTACGGGTCAATGAATGTCAGTGCTTTGAAATCGAAGGTAGTAAAAAGGTGCAACATTTAAGCGGCATTATAGAACAGCCAAATCGGCGGTTAGTATTTATTGGGCATGTTCGATATTTTTAATATAATGGCTTATTCATGTATATTTATTTATAATTTAAGTTTGATCTCCTAGTAAACAACTTTAACAGGGCTTCTTGTTACTGTCGCGCCATCTGGTGAACGAAAAAACGATAGCCCTCACTAGACACATACACATATTGATGGGAATTGTTTATAAAAAGATTCCTTACCTTTCTCCTTTGCATCTGGAAACCAAGTAATATTTTTGCTAGGGCCGTTACTACTTGTATAAGTAATCGGTACAAACCAACGATACCTTAAAAAAAAAAATATAATCACATAAAGAAGTTTATGTTGATAATGTAATACCAAATTAATTTAATTTTTAAAAGATAACGCATTGTTATAGTTAACTTAATCCACATCCAAATTCAAAGCTTATACCGTAGGGTTGACTCTGATTTTATAATAAGTGTATCCACATAACCTGAAATCGTCTATCCAATCGTGTGACGTCATTTTGGTAATAGCATTTCTGCGTCTATCAGACCAGTCGTAAACATATACTTATTTATTTAAGTTTTACGTAATCCCTAGGTATTTTTGTCTGATTGATATACGTCTGTTTTAAATCAAATCATAACTCACTTGAATTCAGTATCATTTGGAGAAATTGCTTCTGGATCTAATAGGAAACGTTTTTGTGTAATAACATATTGGTTGACGTCATCACCTTTCTCTACTGTAAGTAATGGATAACCCATTTGCCTGGTCCAAGTATCCATGATGTAGCTGAAATCGATACGGACTTTAATAGAAATCGTTAGGTACATACATCAAAGAATCTAAATGCCGCATTAGTTAGTTCACTTACAATTGGGCAAGTTAAGTAACTTTCGTAAAGAGCGGTCAGAGGATGGGTGGCCGAAAGTTTACTTTCTCAATACGCCAATACGTAATGGCTTACGTTAACTGTGCGGGTATAATCGAGCACAAAAATAAATAAAGTGAAATACATAAGTTTAAAAATTTTAAAGTGTCAGTTTCTTCTTAAAACGGCAACAACATGGTTGAAAGGCTAAAAATTTAAATGTATCACAACATATTACAAAACAAATCTCCATATAGACAATAGTTAAATCATATTCTCGTATGAGATTTACAATTTTAAAAATCAATAAATACTACATTAAATTAGCGTGAAACATTATATATAGTTCACTTTAGTTCTCGTTTCAACAAGGTCACAACATTATATGTTGTCCAATTGATTTGATGGCTTCATCTTTTCACCAATAAGTTCAAAACTGATGGCAAAATATTGAAATTTAATAACATAATGCTTGTTTCAACTTACAATATATCAAGATCCGGATATTCCTTTCTAAAATAGGGTTCCAAACATGAAAGCAAATCCTGTGTGACGGTATTGCCATATTTATATTTCTTTAAATAGTCAGATACGCCGCGACGGAAATTCTCCTCACCAATAAATCCCTCCAACATACGTAGCACTGAAGCACCCTGATTAAAATTAAATACAAGATAATTCATCCAAGAAAATTTCTGGCCAACTTTCATATGATCTTATGAAACTAATATCAGATTTATTTTTCCCCAAAGTGTTACTGAATAAAAGAAAAACATATTTTTAATTATTAATTTAAATTGTCCCGCTAAAATAACCAGTAACATGAACATTTCGGACTGTGACGTCACAATACATTAAACATGAGTACTGGTTGATTTAGTTTTTTGAAATGTTACGTTACACAATGCTCTGATATGGTGTTTCAGTTCTTGTAATCCAAAAATTATAAATCGCAAGTCAATTTTACAAAAATCAAATAAACTTACAATTTATTTTAAAATAAAAAAAATACAAGACAATTATTGTTTACACGTATTGAATATTTTGTATATATAAGTAGCTCGGTGGCGTAGTTAAGCAAGTTTCGCAAGGGTCGGTCACGGGATGGGTGACCAAAAAATTATTATCTCGAGCTACTAAATTATAATTATTATCCCGTGCTTCGGAAGGCACGTTAAGCCGTTGGTCCCGGCTGCATTTGCAGTCGTTAATACCCTCCAATTCGCATTGGGCCAGCGTGGACGGTCATGGTCCATCCTCCTTAACCATCCATAAGGTAGGCCTGAGCCACTGCAATGGGGACGTAAAAGGACTGGTGATGATGATGATGATGATTGTATATTGGCGCACATTAAAATTACTTAATACTGAATTTACCTTATTGTAAGAAATCGAATCGAAAATAGCAGTGATTTCATCGGGTGTCGCCACTGTTTGCACTATTGAATGACTCGACAGTTTTGCATCAGTCACTAATACAGAGTGCATGGTTTTAGTTAAAAACTGGTCCATCTATAAATAAATATTTAGTATTTATTCACATATACTTAATGCCGAAATCGGACTAGGTTGTGAGCTAATATTTCATAATATTAGTATGGAAAAAAAATCACTTCAAAAACTATTGTTTCTGTAATTTCACAAATTACTGTAAGACAACTTTCACTACATCAAAACATTTTCACGATCTAATCCATTTTATATCATGTTAGTAATTAAAACAAACTACACAAATACAAATAACGTTTGCCAAAATGCTTTGCATAACAATGACTTAATTGACGAATCCCGAAATAGACTTCTGCGTATAGTAAAGGCGTGTTTTTTCAACCCTACGGCATAAGCAAAAATCAATTGGAGTATAAATTGGGAGTTTAATATCATAATAATCAAATAAGCATGTGGAAAATAGAGTTCAAGATTCATTAATCAATTTCAAAGAAATAGGTAGTTGTGTATTATGAGATAGATTTATATTACCGTTGTCCAAGAAGGTTCTATGGCATTCAGTGCCTTCGCTTGCATGTATGACGCAAATCCTTCATTAAGCCATAAGTCATCCCACCATTTCATTGTAACTGAAATCATTTAATCAGTTTAAACAAGAGAATAATTTTGTTAAATAATAGTGATTAATTTTGTAAATAAAAAAAAGAACATTTTTTTTTTTTCATATTTGTAGTCTGTGCCTCACGTCAAATGAAACAACAATTAGAGCGTGGGACGTTATTTGTAGATAAATTGGTAACAAAACCATCTAGGATAATAGCGGGAAATATAATTGTCAAATAACGTTATTAATTTAATGAATGAATAGGTTACAAGAGTAATTTTTGTATTTTATTAATTTATGATAACTAACTAAATAACTCAACGTTTTCACTGAAAGTCCCCTTCCATTACTCCACATATGACGTCATGGTTTTTAAATTTTAAAGATAGTTTTAGTACATAATAAGGTTATTTACATAAAATATTTTTTTATATAATTATATTGGGTTGGCACAAAAGTAATGAGACACACTAGAAAAATCTATAACATTTCCTTTTTAAAATCAATTTTTTCGATAATATTCTAGAATGTTGTAGAACATTCTAGGTACTTCTGGTGTAGGGTATATAATGCCGCACTCGTGATTTGTTTAGTCAGTTTGAAGAAAAATGGACGAGCGACAAGTTCGAACACTATACTTATACGAGTACTTGTAAGGCCACAGTGCGCGGGCTGCGGCTGACAATATCAACAATGCATTAGGCGCTGGAAGTACAAGCCATGCGACGGTGTCCCAATGGTTTGACCGTTTTAAATCAGGAGACAGGAGCCTTGAAAGTCAGCCACGCTCAGGGCGACCACCCGCAGTGAATGATGACAATTTGCGCCGCGAACTGCAGTTGAATCCGGATGCTACCACTCGTGAATTAGCGGAAGCACTTAAATGCAGTCACCACGCCGTGGAACACCATCTGCATGAGCTTGGTTATCGAAAAGTTTTGGCTCGGTGGGTACCGCACATCCTTACGGACGCCAGTCGTGCAGTCCGTGTCGCTATCTGTCAGTCACTTTTGCTGCGACCCCGACGTAAAGAGTTTTTGTCAGATCTGGTTACTGGAGATAAATCATGGATTTATTACGAGAACGATACACGTCGTGCTTTTTGGCTGCCTCGAGAAGAAACGCCACCAACTCAACCGAAGCCGAGTCAAAAGAACCGCCAAAAAATTCTGCTTTGCTGTTTCTGGGATGCGCAAGGTATACTGTTTTATGAGCTATTACACAATGAAACTATAAACGCTGACAAATATTCAACCCAGCATACCAAATTATCTGCCGCTATCAAGAAAAAACGACGAAGACGAGTCAATGTAGTTTTACTGCACGATAACGCTCGACCTCACGTCGCATCTGTGGTTCGCCGGCAGTTGGAGAACTTGGGCTGGGAGACGATACCCCACCCACCTTATTCCCCAGACCTCGCCCCATCAGACTATCATTTGTTTAGAGCCCTGAAACAGCATTTGCGGGGTAAACAATTTAATGATTTCTCTGACGTAGAGGCGGAGTTGAACAACTTTTTCGAGGCACAGCCATCAGAGTTCTGGGCAAAAGGCATCCAAACTTTGCTGGATCGTTGGCAAGGAGTCTTAGATACTAATGGTAATTACATCATTGACTAAACTTTTTTTATTGTAATAATAATAAAAAAGTAAAAACTTAAACCAAGTGTCTCATTACTTTTGTGCCAACCCGATATATTGGGCAATTTAAAACAGTTTTTGAAGTTATCCAATCCCCTATTGTGTATGGTAATAAAAATAGCTTCTGGAATTTATGTAAAAATGTTCATAATTACCTAAATTACCAAACCACATATGAGCAAGTTCATGTGCCACGGTATTAGCAACATTGATTTTATTTATCGAAGAAGCTGTAGCCTCATCCACCAGAAAAGATGTTTCTCTATATGTTATCAGACCCCAATGTTCAGTTGCACCAGAAACATAATCAGGAATGGCTATCATATCTGAAGAATAAATTAGATAACTTATACAACAACATTATAATCACCTTTCATCTGCCTAATTACCTATATCACAAAAAGTTAACAGAACACATGTTCAACTCAGGTACATACAATCAAATAAATAAAAAAAAATGTATATATTTTAACAGTTTGCATCTTTTATACTTATTTTATGTTATCAATTTTAATTTCTTTTATTTCTTATTACCAAGATACTATATGTAAATAAGTCAATGATGACCAGCAAAAATCTATAATTATAAAAACTTTTTTAAAGTTAATTTTAATTAATGCAAACAGTAGATGATCTGAATATCAATATTTATATACCTATTAAACTTTTTCAAACATTACCTAACTTTGGCAAAGGGAAAGGCACTTCATAATATTTTATGTAGAATTCTGTTGCCCTTTTTCCAATATCTTGGGCAAAGTTTATTTTGTGCATTTGATCTTTTTGTGCAAATGATCTAAGGATAAAATTATTTCCGATCCCATTAGTGTTAATTTCATTTTGTTTAAAATCAAAATCACAAACAACAAAACAAGCTAGATAAGTAGACATTGGTACACTTGTTGCAAATGTAACAATTTCAGTCTTTCCATTGTCTTCAGGTTCACTTGATATTTCCTGGAAAAAGGTAAAATTAATAACTTTAATATTACTTTACACAATGAATCTAATTTAATTTTTTTTCAAAGTAAGTATGAGTAAAACTGGATCAATTTTTTTTTCATATTGTAGGTAAAGTATTTCTAGAAAACATAATTATAATATAAAAATAATCACAACTAATAAATAAACAGCTAACCAATATTTGAATTATTTTGTTGTTATTTTAGATAAACAATTTTTTACTGTACATAAGAAAATACACACTATACCAATATTCCTTTTTTGTGTATACACAATATTTTTAGCAATATTCAAGATTTTCCGCTGGCGTAAAGATAGTCTCCTGTTCCTAGCACAATAATATATATTATATTTTGATTAATTTTGCATTCACAATGCCATACTGAAAATTATTCTTCATACAAAATCTCTGTAGTAGTAGTAGCGAAAAGTAACAAGTGCTTGAAAGATTCGTCAGTCCTGTTAGGTCCTGGGTAGCTCAGCGGTTAGAGCAGTTGCCTGGATTGCGAAAGGTCGTGGGTTCGATTCCCATCTCAGGGTGCCAGGGACAAAGTGAATTTTTTAAGCATTTTGTATTAAGAATAATTTTCGATAATATATAATTTCAAAATAGAATTGATTTATCAAATTTAATGTTAAGGGTGAGTGCAAATCTGACAGAAGATCCGTTGAGCATTAGAAGTATACTTTAGTATAAGACATATCATCAATTATGTGTCCAATGTCAAACATAATGTCATGTATTTATCAATACAGATGTTCCATGATTGACTATATGCAATGCATTTTCTATCTGATATACACCAAAATAACATTTAAAAAGCTGTTCTGTCTACAGTTGAATTTATTAAACTTAAAATTTACTAAACTTACATTCATGTTAGAAAGAGCGACATAAGATACTGGCTTAACTAAAGTTATGTCATACGTAGCTTTGAAATCTGGTTCATCAAAACATGGGAAAGCTTGACGAGCATAAGTGGGTTCAAATTTACTTGCCACCATTGTCCTGAAAATTATCACACATATATAAATACATAGTATAAAACAAAATCACTTTCCATCTTCTATCCCTGTATATGCTGAGATCTTTAAAACTATGGAATGGATTTTGTTGCATTTTGTTTTAAAAGATAGGGTGATTCAAAAGGAAGGTTTTATGTATAATTCAAGATTTTCCACTGGCACAAAGCTAGTAAATTATAAATAAATAAATTTATGAGATATTATACAGCCAATGGATACAGATAAACATTAATCCCATAAGGACTCCCAACATTGATGCTCAACTAAGTAATCTATTAAGGTAGATTATAATAAATCTAATAAAATTTCAACTGACAAAGCCAATTATAGTGAAAATTTGCCTACTCATCATGGTGCTTGAATAATTGTCACATCTATCTTGTGTTATTACTTATAGTCACATATTAATATTGTAAACAACTACTATGAATCACGGTAAATTCAACAATAAGTTAATAGTAAAAATGTTAAAGTACCAAGAAAGTTTATTCCTACCGGTTGTTGTTTAACCTAGATAGATAAAATCCAACAAAACTTTGAGTTAAATCACCATTAAAATCAATTTCAATTTTGTATACACCCCTATCAAGAGTTTTATCAAAGTTTATTAAAATCTGTTCTATTTGCTTGATTTCATTGTACTTTACTACTTCAATTTCTTCATCGTTTTTAAAAACTTTCACTGAAGTTATGTCTAGAAACTTTGTATGAAGATTTATATAGTTTTTTTCTTCCTTTGTTGTAATATCTATTTTCACTTTCCCCTCAAAATGACCCGTTTTCAAGTCTGGGCGTAGAAAGAGATTATAATGTGTTGGCCGGACTAATGAAGAAAGCCTTTCTGAAAGCTTAATTTTTGAAGATTCCATTGTTAAATTAAGTGAACCGCTGTAGTTAATCCGGTAAAAGCTTTTTGTGATGATATTACGTGTTATCAAATTTCGGACACGCAACGTAAGACAAGTATACATTAATTTAAAATTTTTGGAACTAGAAGATGAAAATATTAGCAAACATTTCTTGTTTTACAGATCAAAAAACATTTCAGCAATTCACTGTGCCAATTTATTTTGATTAGTGGAAGTGACGTGAAAAAATTATCGGTAATAGAATAATCGATCCCTGTTTTATAAAAATGTTTAAATAATTAATGTCATTTTTCCATTGCTGATTTCTCTCATACAAAAATAATAGTATTTGGTTGGTTTTCCTTTATCTTAAAAGTTTTGAAATAACTGAACTGACTAATTTGACTAGCATTTTCTACTTACTCGTATTCAAAAGAAAAAAGACATATTATAAATATATAAACCCAATACTAACTAAAAGAGTCAGTCCGGGGCTGACAATCTCTTAAGATAAAGGAACAACCACCAGATAATATTGGTTTTATGAATACCATATTTAAATGTCAGAGAAAAATTGTGGCCACAGGGTGGTTAAAAAATTCGATTTACTTCAGTTAAAAACGGTTGACTTGAAATTGACCGTGAAATTGAAATTAGTTCAATTTGATACTATTTATTTTTAATGTTATTGACAGCAACCTAAAGGCCGACAAGTTTTTTTGCATTGTGGTAAAAAAAAATACATGTAAAATGTTATATCTGAAACAACGTCTTTTATTATATCGAGCCATTTCTAAATAAATTGCTCACGAATTCTCAATCGCTTGACTAATTTACAAATTACCAATTATTTATGTTGATAAACTTATAATTTATGGTATTTTTTATCAGTGAATCTAATTATATTGTAATCGTTTATTTTTATTTGGATTGAGACTTTAAAATAAAGTCGATATTTAAGATTTTGGAATTTGTGAAATTTATAAATAAATATTCAAATTGTTAAAAATTCGATAAACAATTATCGATATTTATGTACAATGTCATGTCCCTATTTTCTTGAAATGTCATTTTTGACAATTATTGTCAAAAATGATTTCTTATAAAGCAAAGGAATTTAGCCCATACAGCCTAGTCTTTCACAATTTACTATTATTTGAAATAAATCTAACTTATAAATGTTTCATGTGCTTCTGCTTAGCTTCTTTGAAGGTTTTAAACTATTGAAAGTTATAGCAAGATGGAAAAATCATGAAACAGTTTTTCTATTTACGACTGAAGTAGTTATGTTCCTACCTACTTTTACTCTTTTTTTGTAAAATGAAATCTATATAGCTACTAGGGTGGGTTCAAAAGTTCGCGGCCTCAGCAAGAAAACAATATAAAATATAAGCAAAAGTAATTTTATTTTTCCACGTAATATCCACTTAACTCTATGCACTTCTTCCATCTGGTTTCCAACGCCTGTATGCCGGTCATAAAAAAAAGTTTCTTCAAGGCCTTCAAAAAAGTCACCCACCGCAGCTTCGACCTCCTCATTTGATGCAAATTTTTGACCTCCGAGGTGATTTTTTAGGTTTGGGAATAAATGAAAGTCTGAAGGTGCCAAATCAGGGCAATAGGCGGGATGGGACAGTAATACAAAGCCACAATCACGAATTTGAGCCATATCTTCAACTTACGTGTGAACGCGTGCATTATCCTGATGGAACAACACTTTCTTGCTGAGTAATCCTGGCGTTTTCTTTTTGACTGTTTCGCGCAAGCGACGTAAGAGGGTGCAGTAATAAGCCGAATTTATAGTTTCACCTTTTGCAAGGTAGTCCACCATGATGACACCCTTAACATCCCAAAAAACAGACGCCATCACTTTGCCAGCTGACAAAATTGTTTTGGCTTTTTGGAGTCGGTTCATCACGTTTTTCCACTGCTTGGATTGCTGTTTTGACTCTGAGGTGTTTCATCCATTGTTACAAATCTGGATAAAAAACCTTGTGGACCAGCCTCAAACATTTCCAAACAGTCGCGAGAAATCGTGAGGCGTATTCGTTTTTGTTCGACTGAAAGCAATCTAGGTACCCACCACGCAGAAACCTTAGAAAATCCAAGTTCATTGACTATGATGTTTTGTGTTCATTCATAAAAGATGCCAATAATGTCTGCAATCTCCCTGATGGTCAATCTCCGATCTGTCAATATCAGATCACAGATTTTCCAGAAGCTTTCTTCAGTCGTAGACGTCATAGGCCGGCCAGAGCGAGGGTTATCTTCAGTGCTCTCTCGTCCGCGTTTAAATTCAGCAACTCACTTTTTCACAGTCGTATACCACGAAGCAGATTCCACCAATGTTGTTGACATATCTTCGTGAATCCTTTTTGGAGTAAGTTTTTTTTTAAACAGGTATTTGATGACCGCACGTTGCTCAATTTTCTCCACTCTTTAAAAATGCTGCACAAAGGCTCACAAAATTCGGTCTAATTTAAATACAGTTGACAACCAGAGAGTAAACAAATCGAATGAGGTCAGTTACATTAAAATAGTTTCAATATTTATGTTAGGCCGCGAACTTTTCAATCCACTCTCGTAGATTGATTTATCGTCCTCGAAACGCCCTACATAGACGCTAAATTTCATTAAAATCGTTGGAGCCTTTCCAAAATTCAGATTATTTTACTTATACAAGAATGACTAGTAGTTAACACTGTCAGTTTTTCTTTGAAATGTTTAAAGTACCCGCTTCCCATACGAAACAAATTTCACTTTACACAATAAAAATACAATGCGTTCAGTCCGATGCAGTTGCTACTTTCTGATTGGAATTTTTTACCCGCTTCAACAGAATGAGTGTTAGGTTTTTAGAATACATGTAGATATTTAGCTCTTCTTGTTTCTTTTTATATCGAAGCTTTGATACAAATACAAGCTCCCTAGGAATATATATGAATTACCTAGTAATACAATTTTATTGAAGGTACTTACCGACCGTTCTTCAACGTACTTTGATAAAAACTGACGAAACCTCTATCAAGTCGTCCCGAGAATATTAAATTCAATTCATATATATTCATTGGTATTTCATTTTGTAAATATATTATTAAAAATTCTCTGTCATCTCCAGTTTTTACTGTTGACTCTAGATTTATTTCTCTGTCTTTACGTTTTAGTTTCACCGATGAAATATCTAACTTGTTTGTGTGTATTGTAATATTCCTAGTTGGTTCTTTGATTAGAATTTTAATATTTACGTTTCCGCTGAAAGTTTTATTGCTCATATTCGGCCTTAGAAATAATTTATAATTTTCAGGAACAACATGTCTTGGTAATCTGTAATGTCCTATCTGTAAAAAAAAAATATATTTTCTCTCTTATGATGCATAAAAATATAAAAGAAAGACTATGACATTATATTCCTTTATATTTAATAGTCGTATAGGAAAGTAGGGTAAGAATATACCTAGACATTTTTTTTTAAACAGAAGTGCCAAAAACATTTCCCTGTGCATACATACCTTTTCAGACAGTTATGCTATTCTATATTCAGTTATAAAACGATCAAAATCATGCCGTCAAGTACAACAGAGAGATCGTCTAACTCTTCTACCTTTAACTCCTAACATGTAAAAATAAACGAAATGTCATCATAGTATTCGCTAACATATCATATTATATGGCTAGAGAGTTAGACGACCGCACCGAAGTTCTGAAACAGCATATTTTAATCAATGAAATAAAACCTTTAATTCCTTTTGAAGTAGATTTTATTTGTTTGAACCTTTAATCTGCGACCCCGCTGTGCTTGACATCATTTCGAGTTTGTTTTTATTACAAACCATATCATTTGAGTGTCTTAATTATTTACCAATCTGATTCACGTTTATTTTAATTTACATATTTCGTTTACTGTTTTTGACTCATGTGACTTCAAGCATTACGGTGCACATATATGTATAGAGAGTCTTTGTATACGTTCAGGCTTATTTCAAGTAAAGAGAAAACAGCAAAATAAATATTACAATTTATAATCATTACTTTACAAGAAATTTACTCTAGTGTTTAAGGCATTGATAGCAATTTCAATGCAGAGATTAATTTAAAATCTCGGCATACTACGGTATTATAATTTGTATACTATTATATTTCGTATACGATATTACATGTGTAATAAAATTCATCTCTCCATCCACTGGTTGTTTGGAAGAGATGACTATGTAAGAGATCACCGTTAATTGTGACAGTCAAGTATATTTGTTTATGCTTTTTTTTCTCTATATTTTGGGTATATAAAGTGTTTATCTATATATCAATCCTCAAAACGTTAACATTAGGGGCAACAGACTGAAATGCTCAAGTTTTCCGGCAACTTCGCCCACCTAAATTAGGTTTAGGCTATAGTAAACACTTAAGATATAGAGTCCTGTAGTAGATAGAAAATCAGCAGAGCGATTCTGTAAAAATCCCGAGCTTGAATACGAATTCACTCATGTGTCCAAATTCAAGTCATTTAGTGAAGAAATTCTATTATGTACGCGTAACTTTCAAGTCACAAAAAACTTAGTTCAACACATCGAAATATTGTAGTTAGCATTAAACTCTGTCATTTGATATTTATTAATAGCTTTCAAGCATTTTCGCTTTGCTTCAGCGCGTAAAATTAATCAATATTTTCAAAAAAAAAATGTCGCGATAGTTTGTACCGTGAAGTTCGTGAATTGCTTTCAAATATCAAATTGAAATTGGATCAGTATTTCCGAACATTATCCCTACAAATAAACGAAGTTCGAAATTTTCTTTATTATACTCATATGTATTATAGATTAGAATAGAAACGACACTATCGTCTACTAATATAAAGTACATTTTCAATAAAACTTAAACAAATGATCATGTTACCTCATGGTTTCCAGTACTGTTCTCTTGTGTATAAACAGATAGAGATGTTTTCAATGCAACATTGCAATGTGCAGAAGCTCTATTCGGTTTAGCTGAAAGAGCTATTACCGCTATTACTAAAGAGAATGAAAGTAACGTCAAAAATATAAAGCATTTGTTCTTCCACAGATATTCCGATATGCTGCCTTTTGTCTGAAAAAGAAAACATATAATAAATAGATACTTATTATTAAAATTAAAGCAGCTCAGTGGAGTAGTGGATATGCGCCGCAGCCCACGATCGTTGTTGTTAAGCAACTTTTACAGAGTCAGTCACGGGATGAATTACAAAAAAAAATATTATCTCGAGCTACTCCGTT